ATAACACCCCCACCTTTGGAGGGCTGGCCAGAACTGGCTGTCTGCCCTCAAACATGACAGCTGACATTTTTGAATACACTTAAAGATGGGCTTGTTCACCGCAGTGCAGAGGACAGAAACCACACGTTCTAAAGTTATAGCCCCTCCAGCTCATTCATTCTTAGGGCATTTGGTTTATGTGGCAGGTCTCTTTCTCCTGTGAGAATATTGTAAACTTGATTCTAGAGACTGGGGATAGTAGGGAGCAGGGTTTTGGCAAACATTTATTGAATGTGTAAGAAAAACATCACTTGATAAAATTCATGAACTTTATTAAGAGTGTAAACTTTGACGGATATGGAGGTGAGCCAGAGACCCCAAATTCTTACCGTCTTAAATTTTGATTCTTAGGAGCCAAGTATCTGAAACTTCAAGGAGTGAATTGTGGTTTTAAAGGCCTTTGTCCTAAGTTGCGTTTCTGTTGGTTCCCTCCGAGCTTCCCAATGCTTTCCCCACCCTAATCTCATCATTGTGCCTTTATTCATTGTCCCAGTCTCCCATCCTGCTATCTTGGTTTTTCTTTTCATTAATTTACCTAATATTAACTGTGTGCCTGACCCTGCTCTGGTACAGGAGATATTGCAGTAAACAGCCCAGAGAATTATTTGCCTTTGTGGTGTTGAAATTCTGAGGCAGGTCAGGAAGAGAGATGGGTCATGTATAAGTAAGTAGTCAATGAACATGAGTTTTGAGAGTGATGAGCGCTATGAAGAAAATGGAACAGTGATATGAAAGGGAGTCGTGGTGGAGAGGATGCCTGATTTAAGTTGGGTGGTCAGGGAAGACCTCTTTGAGGAGGTGACACTGAGCTGAAATGGGAATGCCAAGAGGTAGCCATGTGGCTTGGAGGTAGATGGTCCATTTGAAGATTAGCAGGTACCTCAGGCAGGAAAGGGCTTAGATTGGTTGAGAAACACTGAAGGCCTGGGAGTCAGGAAAGGTGTGAGCCTAGGGTGCATGGAGGGAGTAAGGTCAAGGAGCTAGGGGGAGCCGAGGGTGCTCAGGGCTGGAAAAGTCATGGTTAAGCAATTGAATTTTATTCAAGATACTAAGGGAAGCCATTTAACAGGTGTAAGCAATGGCATGATATGATTAGATGTACATCAAATCAATACTGTAATCTTTTTAGGCCCCAATTCAAATGTAGCCTGAGCTGTGAAACATGTGTAGGCAAACCGAATAGCTCCTGAGTGACTGTTGCCTGGTTGGAGGACCTGGTCTTCCTATCCCACTGCCTGTGAGCTCTGGCAGGGTGGGGACCATGCCCTGATTAGCCCCGCTTCTCTGATGTGCTTTGCACATATTGCCCAGTCAATAAATGTCCACTGCATTGACCTTAATTACAAGCTCCTGGAGGTTAGTAACGTTTGCCCAATTTATTTTGTAAAATTCCAAAGGGCCCTTAAGAAAAGTCCTTTGATGGCAAATTGGGCTTTTGAAGCAGCGTTATTAATGGATCTTCACACGGTGGCTCCTACCAAATCGGGAGCTAATTAGGGTTAACTCCACCAAAAGAATTTATTCAAATGACTTCCATTGGTCAATTAGTTTCCTGCAGATGATTTTAGCATGTTTCTTAAATGTGTCAGTGTTCAGGCAATGAAGTCAAGATTAAAAGCCCAGACTTCATGTTGTAGGTCCCAGAAATAACGTACATTTTTAATGGCTGCTTCCCCAACTTCAAAATTAAACATATTGCATTGTTGGGAGTACGATTTCAGCTTCTTTACGTTTATGACACAAATGGAGCCATTCGCCCTCACTTCAGTCTATAAAGGCAAGACTCATTAGAAGGAGGAAATTTCCTTTATCATGAGTAAGGCCACGCTCACATGATAAAAAGTGTCTCCACTTCTCCCACCTCCTTCTCCAAACTTCAATTCTCATTTTAAGCAGTTCCCACATAGGCTATTTATCTTCCACATTTTCCCAACTCTCAATGGCACCATTATATCCTTTATTTGGAATCATAAAACTTTGAGAATAAAAAAGAAGCAAATTAATCCTCCCAGGGGGGAAAAGGAAGACGGGTCCTGCCAGCTTTTAAATTGTAGGACTGGCCTGGCCTGGAAACACAGTTTTCTTTTTCAACAACTTAACTGGTGGGGGAAATGAATGGTTATGACAGCGAACCCTGAAATAAAATGCAGAATTATGCAAACGCGTTAAAAACTGACATCTTGAAATAAAAACTGTTGAAAGGCTGAGGAATAAACAATGCGGGCTAGAATGGGAACCTTTCAAAGCTACAAATGGGATACTCTGCTTTTATTATTCACAGTGGAAAAATAACCTCCATCATGATGTGAAAACCACAATTTCCTTTATTTGTGGATCATGCCAGATTAAAAAGCATTCAGGGAAGAAGTGCGGCTGGGAGAATTGAACGCCATCCGAAGAGGCAGAGGCTGAGTGTCCAGGATCCTGTTGTGGACGCTGGCTTGCTCCATGCAATTGCATAAGTCACTTAACCTCCTGATGACTTCTTTCCCATCATCAGACTGGAATTAAGGAGTTGGCCTTTCCTCTGGGGCCCGAGATCTGGATTTCCTAACTGCCAATTGGATAACATGCTTTGCCTTGCAATTTGCTCTAAGGAGTCTCAAGGTTGTTGTGAAAACAAATGATAAAAGTCAGTTAAAAAGCCGGCTGCCACCAGAACAGCCAATGAGAAAACACGAGCCCACAGAGTGCCTCAAAGTGAATCTCCAGGTTCGGGGTTCTGGAAATAGATTCTACAACTAGTAAAGCCTTTATTTTATTTTTTAAAATTACTTTTTAAATGGTGTCATACGGTCCCTGGATAATTGGTGAATATTATGTTCTCATAAAGTAAAATGAAAATCACTGGGGTGAGAAACCGTATGCATGCGGAATACTAAAGTCTGAGGGATCTTGTGGATAATCTCGTCTAGCACTTTGACTTTGCAGGGGAGGAAATTGTAGATGGGGAAAGTTTAAATGATCTACCTGAACTTCTGGAGCTGCAGATCAATGGACACTGTCAGTTTTGAAACATAATTGTGACTGTGATTTAATTGCTCCAATCAGTTGACCAGGAATCTCCCAAGAAGGCTGATGGTCCTGGAAGTTTTAAAAGAACATTCAATTTGATAGTGAACCAGAGAGATCCCTATACAATATTGGATAATGTCTTTTTTTATGAAAGAAGTGTTCTGAATCTTAAAGGAAGCATCTTTTAGAAAAATGAGGAAGACGCAAATGTTGACTGCAATGTTTTAGTCTAAATTTTTCCATTCTTTCCTTCCTGCCTTCTTTCCTCCTTTTTCTCCCTCCCTTCTTCCTTCTTTCCTCTTTTTCTCTCTTTCTTCCCACACTTTTTTTTTTAATTTGAAGGAAGGTTCTGGAGAGAAACTAGAGTAAATCCAGGCCATAGTGACCTAGCATTGAGAGAAAAACCAAGAAAGTGAAGAGAGTCACATGGTGGAGAGGAAAAAGCTCCCTGTGATTTACTTTGACTTGCTAATTTTCAGAAGGAAATTAATAAAATTGATTCCAGCAAAAACTCTAAGTGGACAAATAGAAGAAAAACAGATTGAGAATTGTGAATATTTAGGGCAGAGAGAAAGTTCTTAGAGAAATCTTTCCCTCAGGGAGAAATAAATATTTAGGAGAAATCACTAACTCTAAGGGTCGTTAAAGCAAAGATCACTCATAAGGTGGGAGTAAACCCCTCACCAACTATTAACTCCAATTCCTAGACTTGGTGGCAGTGACATGATTAGTTATTGTGGGTTCTGGAAGAAAGCAGGACCTTTGGCAATAACGCCTTGGAAATATGTATTTTTAAGTACTATAAAAGATGTGGAAAGCAACTTTTCTTTTCATCCTGGGGGCTAGAAATAATACACCTGCAAGGACAGATGGATGGCATAATGTTGACATTCAATGGGGCATTAAACATTTTGCACCACGTTTATGGGGTTTTCCTGTCATTAATTCTAGGTAAAATAAACTTCTAAAAAACGTTTTGTTGTGTTTTTGGATCGCGTTTATTTTCCACCAACTTGCTTTTCTTTGCCCCTTTTTCCTGCCAGCTTTTTGTGTCCATTATGTTTTCTTGTGTCCATCATGCTCTTGGCTAATTTCCTAGCTGGCCTCCCTCAAGCTATGAGGTCTTTCTTTTTCCTTCCCCTCTTCCTCTGGCGTCCTTTCTTTCACTGCTGCTGCTGCACGTGTTCAGGCGTATGGCAGGGTCAGATGTGGTTGGTTCCGCTGGCCTGAGTCACTGTGGTTTGCCTGTGGCGCCCTGGGATTGGCAGTGTCTTGGAAAGACTGTCCAGGGCCTGCAAAGATGGAGGCCACCTGAATCTCTCTGTTTCGAGGGGACCCATTTTATAATTGATCGTGATGGCAAGGCCTTGCCTTTCTTCCTAGTTGAATTTGTGGACATCCTCCTTAATTTTTTCTGCCTCCTTCAAAAAAGCCTCCTTCCCCATAAGCAGTACACACACTTTCCTTTTTAAATCAGGTCAAATTTGCAGCTAAGGGAGGAAGGATGGTGTTTTGAAAAGAGCAGAGGAATGAGAATCAGAATACCTGTGTCCTTGCTCTGCCACTCGCATAGTGCCTGTGGGACGTCAGTGAAGCCACTGAACCCTCTGGTGTACAGTTTTTTGAATGGGATGTTCTCCTGAGACATTTAACATAGCCAACCTCTCCCTTGGGCTCCAAGCAGATAGAATAGGGAAGTAAGATAGTGCAGCAGGAACAGAAGTGAGGAGGACACAATTGTGATTAAATGGAACTGAAACTCCAAGAGGTAATATGTACCCTGATGATCTAAGGCCAGTGGCTCACAAAGTATCATTCAGGGACTAGCTCTATGGGGCTCCTTGGAACTTTTGTGAAACATCTATCAATTCACTCAATCAATGACTATAGGACACTTACTATGTGATTGACCAGGTGATTGACACACAGCAGCAAACAGAAAAGACCCATCCTTGGTGTCATGGGATGCAATGATTAATATTCATAATAAAGAGTATTTCAAGTAATTAATATTTTAGGGGGTGGTAGTGCTAAGAAGAAAGTCAAGCATGTTAAAGGGAGTAAGATGTGACTGCTTTATATAATGTGATTGGAGAAGATCTCCCTTAGGTGGTGGCACTGGAACAGAGAACCAAATAAAGAGGTGAGATCCATGTGGCTGTCTAGAGAAGGAGCATTCCAGGTTGCGGGAACAGCGAGTGCAGAGGCCTTGAGATCACAGGTGAGTCTAAGGAATAGCAAACAAGACCAGTGTACAGACAGGGTAGGACTCCTGGGCTTTCCTACCACATCCATGACTGTGTCCCCAGGCCTAGAGTTGGGCTAGAGTCTGAAAGCTAAAGAGGTGCCCAGTTATTTCTCCTGCACATTTAAGACTTGACCCTAAAGCCTGGTGAGTGAGGGTTGATGGATCTTCTAACTCCAGATCCTCTGAGTCCATTAGGCCAGTCATTGGGCATTCTACTGAAGATGTATCATCTATGATCTTAACAGTCTGTGTTAGCTTCACTGGAATCTCGTTGTGGTATTTTGGGAACAGTTTTCTTCTCAATTACAGAGAATTCACCATCGTTACTGTTGGCTATCACTATGGACACTGGGCCATTTCCTGAGTTTCAGGTCTCTTCATATCAGCCTTGGGGCAATGAAGACAAGTTCCCTTTTACACTCAGTGCAGATGCTCACACTGGATTTAAGGAACACTCAAGTACTCACTTGGACACTCAAATCCACTGAGAAATGTGTGTCAAGTTTGCTTAACTGAATAATTGATCCAATCAATCAGATATAATTGCGGACTCTGCCAACTTGTATTGGTGGGTAACTGAATGGTGCCTATTAAAGTGGGAAGTAGGCTGAGCTTCCATGACTTGCTGCACTTCACAAAGGACTCTGAGGGTGTGGCAGTGTATTCTCAAATCTTTGTTAAGACCCTTCTCAGCCCCAGGAAAAGAATCCCTTTTAATTCCTGGACCCAAATAACCAGGCCTTGGGGAAAAAGTATTGTTTGTTGCATTAAGAACTTTAAGGATCAGAATGTAATAGGCCCCTCACTGGCTGGTTAAAGATAGGATCATCTTAGCTACCCTTCACAAAGACAAACTTTTGGAAAAGAGGTGTCCACTTTCATCTGAGTGGTCTTGTTCTCATGGACCCCCATGATAGATGCCAGACTGCTTAGTGAACAAACAAATGTCTCTTGGCCTCTCATGCAGAAAATGTTTCCCAGATGCACAGCCACCCCTCTGCTCCCTAAGCTTGCTTTTGCAGCTGTGATGTCAGCTGTGGGCTTTGATTCACAAGGCTTCTCGGCCAGGAGTCTCACCTCTCTGCTGCCACCAAACCCTACTATCCTTCAGGCCCAGCTCAACCCTTGTACCTTCCACGAAGATACCTCAGATTTCTCCCTTCCCTGCCTCTTCGGAAACCCTGGAGCACTCCGTGGCTGCACCTACCACTTCTAACTCACAATATGCCCCTTTCACGTTCCCTCTTCCTCTCTTGGGTGAAAGTATCTTACAGTGGGAATTCCAAGTTTATCTTACATGGCCAGCCATGAGGCTTTTTCCTTAGTTGCTGTTTCTTGAAGCTGTGTTATTTTCTTTTGGGTGTTCCCAGTGCTAGCATGGTGACACATCATGGGTGATCATCAATTAATATGGTACCAACATGAGTATAATGAGCTAAATGAATTTAGGTCTAGTGTAGACAGTATGTCCCACACAGGATTTATCACTATTTTATGAAGAGCTTGTACAAACAAACCAAAATGCTGTCAGCATATCAAGAGGTGCACGTATAAAAGACAAGATGAAGTAATTCAAAGCCATTAGGTTAGTAAGTGATCTATGGCTTCACTAGTTACAGTAAAGCAAAATGAGCATGGCCTTTGCTTGGAATTATGCATGCATTGCTGGCAGCAGCATACACTGGTGCTTGTCATTGCATGCTGGCAGTGTGTATGACATGTTATAAAACATGCTTTGATGCAGTAATCTTGCTTCTGGGAATTTACAACACTGAAATAAAAAATAAGGAAAAAATCTACAGTTTTTAAATGGCTCTGCTTTTTATAATCGTAAAAACAGAGCTACAAACTCCATATCCAATAACAAAGGGTCAGATAAAATCTGATACATATATATTCTGTATATTCTGTGGAATATTCTATAGCCCTCATGAAAAGCACTTATGGGCCCAGGGACCGTGGTTCATATCTGTAATTCCAGCGTTTTGGGAGGCTGAGGCAGGAGGGTTGTTTAAGGCCAGGACTTCAACATCCAGCCTGGGCAATGTAGCAAGATCCTATCTCTAAAATAATTTTAAAAGAATTAACTGGCATGGTGGCACATGCCTGTAGTCCCAGATACTCAAGAAGTTGAGAAGGGGATTGCTCGAGCCCAGGAGTCCAGACTGCTGGGTGCCATGATTATATAGCTGTGCTCCAGCAGCCTGGGCAACAGAGTGAGATCCTGTCTCAAAAAAAGCATTTCTGGAGGTTTTGTATAAGTTGAACTGTAGTTTTAAATATAATGTTTCATAATAAGGAAGCAGAATATTCTCATCATGCATTAACTATATTGATTAGAGGAAGGAGGGCTGAGTTAGAATTAGAAGTGCTGAATTCAATGGATGAGGGCATTTGTTTGACCTGTATTGTTTTACCTTTCCTGATCCTCATATTCATCTACAAAATGGGCAAGAAGATTTTTATGTCCTAGGATGAAATATGTGTGCAAAATCCAAGGTCTGAGCACGAAGGGCATGCTCAATGGAGATATTATTACCAGCAGAGTTTACTGCAAGGATAATCTAGTCCAAGAGCCAAAACTCTGACAAATAGCTCAGGGTGAGTGGAAGAAAATGGGCTTTGATGTCTCTCATGACTGCAGTGGGAATTTTAGGAGGGACAGTTCAGGATTTGGAAGGACTTGGGAAGATGAGAGGAGCCGTTTGCAGAGAACGATGGAGGAAGGAGGGCTGGCCCAGTGCAAGCAGTGAGGCAGGAATCTGTATGGGTTGTGGGGAAAGGAACGGGCTGACCCGATTAGTAGAGAGGGGTGTTTATGTTAGAGAGCAGTGCGATAGTTGAGGTGGGCAAGATTCTAAAGCTCTTTGTCTGTATCCATATTTTAAAGTAAACATCCTCAACTGAAGATGAATATTTATGTGGTAAGGTAGTTCCCAGCAGAAGACAGAAGCCTCTGAAACTCCTTTCTGATGGAATGGAGGGAGTCAACAAACTCCGACCTCATTCTCTGGATCCCTTTGTATCCCAACCTTGTCAGGAAATGATGCAGGATCAATCATTTGCGTGTTAGGGTGAATTCAAATCTACTTATTCCTGTTTTCAGTAATCAATCAAAAACTCATTAAAGATGGATTTGAAGTACTTGCATTTTGAATCTTATTGTTTACATTATTTTATATGACAGGAATTCCAAGCACTGGGGACTGTGGAAAGAGGCACGTGTTTAGTGCTAACATTGGATATGTAAATTGTCGGTAACTCTGTCTACATACAAATTTATCACTTTGTTTAGTTGCTCATTAATTTATTCAATCATCCATCCATCCATTTATTCAGCAGTATTTTACCAAGCATGCATCTTGTGCAGTGCTAGGCATTGGGATTATGGAAGTGAATGTGATATAGTCTCTATTCTCAAGGGTCTCCATGGAAGATTATGCTTGACAAAAGACCTCTTCAAATACTTTGCAAAATATTTTCTGTGTGGAATTAATGAGATGAAAGAGAGTGAAACGATAAGAATACTCACGGTTATCTCTTGTCTAGAGTTTCTGAGCACAACGGAAAGCCACGAGCCAGCTTGCACAGGCCTCCAAGTCGGATATTGTGTGGGGCTCCTCAACATTCAGTCCCCAATACATTCCTAGCCTCACCTCCTGCCCCTCCTCAGCAGTCTGTAATCCACATTCAAGTTTTCCTGAACCAGCTATTGCTCCTTATCACGCTAACGTTTTCTCATCTCTGTGCTTTTGTGAACATGCTACATATGTATTCTCAGTCTAAAAGGCTCCTCTTCGGTCCCTCCTCATCTTACTACTCCTTCCCAATCCCATTATCATGCCATTTTCTCTCAGAACCCTTCCAGGTCCTTCCCAGATAGAGCAAGCCATTATCTCATATGTATTCAATAGCTTTTTCGAGGTTCCCATGACCATCACATAAAATAGCAGACCTCAGATGAAATGGGAAGTATGTGTGATTCCAAGAGTGACAGAGTTGACCCTGAATCCTGGCTCTGACCTCACAGACTACTTGACCTCGGACTGGTTATTCTTTGTTTCTCAATTCTTGCCTTTCTGATCTGTAGAGCAGGTAACCGGTAATACCCCATTTCATTACTGTGGGGATAACGGAGGTGTTGTGAAGAGAGAAGCAGGCCTCTGCCTTGCTCATGTGAGTGCTCTTGCTCACTTGGCTCTCCCATTGTTAGCCTTGGTGTCTCTGGTTCCACTATCATGCTGCAACTGCCTGTAGGACAGAGACCGCTGATGACCATGTTTGCGTTTCTGGTGGCATCCCACACATACTTGCTTCTGAGAAGCAATACAGCATAGTGGCTGGGAGCATGGATGCTGGCACTAGACTGTCTGGGCAATGCCTGACACTACCATTTCCTAGCTTTTTGGACTTGGGGAAATTATTTGCTCTATCTGTGACTTGGTCTTCTCATCTGTCAAATGGGGATAATAATAGTTCCTGGCTCATAAAGATGTTATGAGGTTTACATAGGACCTGGCCATGGTAAGCCCGCATTAAGGTTGGCTATTATTAGTAGGTGCTCAAGAACTGTTTATTGAAAGGCCAATGAATAGATTTTAGTGTGCAATAGTTTCAGGAAGTCTGGCTAACACGAAGGTGTTTATTTGGTTCGGAATGCCTGTTTCTTGACCTACCTATAATTAGTTTCTATTACTAGGTTATTATTAA